CACAACGACTCGGCGGAATATGTAGGCCCGAGATGAAGAGCTAAAATCTTTTAGGCCATATAGATTAGTCGTTTTCCTGTAATCTTCATTCTAACTCTCAGATCTTTAAGCCTCTAAGCAAAAACCAAAAGATGCGGCAGCCTTCAAGACGCGATACGCAGACGTATTATAGGGCGTCCGGGGGATTCCGGCTTGGATCAACGGAATTTGAAGAAATCAATAGGATTATAGACGATCTGATATCTCCTGGGCAAATCCCTTCAGATTTGCGAGAATCTGAGGAGATTCAGAAGAATGATCAGTGATATAAATCTGCACGACTAGCAAGAATATCATCTATATATTAGATTCTTATTTTCTTTCATCTACGTCTTTTCCAAATGGCGGATATGAATTTTGATTTGGATAGCCTTCGATAGTATTAGATTCTTATAGAATGATTTGAATGATTTGATGATGCTCGCCCGCAAGATAAGTAGCTATTTTACGATGCTTCATGAAATATCAAGAGAACCCCCAGCTCTGTCAAATCAGGGATATAGAGCTACGTCATGATTCGGGTTTCAAATTGAAATTATAATTTCATATATATCCGTAGAAGAGTATACGTATGATATAGAACGTAGGATAGAAATAGATTCCATCAGATTGCCTGGGAAAAAAATCAGCAGTCTCTGAGATATCTTTCCAAATCTTTGGATTCCAATGCATAATTCCGCCCCACTAGGAATACCTCAAGATGGATATCTGCTTCTTGACGAAGCGATTTGACAAATATGGCAATGCCTCCAAGTATGCAATTCTCCCAGTCGCTAGCCTGAAAGCCCTCAATTTCAAAGTATCAAAGCATATTCAGGCTGCGGGATGTCAAGCTACGAAGAAATAGGATTCGGAGTTCCATGCATTGCTTTCTTCCCCATCAAATATATTCTGTTGTTATTTGCAGCGGGGCCATTCTAGATTTTATATATTGATTGAGATATCTATTAGAATATTTCAATTCAGAGAAATTATATTCTCAAATTTGATAATTATTTAGAAATTCTTAAAATTTATATTAAAATTATTGAAAATATTGAATTGAATTATGATTTTTTCGAAAATATTCTCGATAAATTAAGAGATTATTTCTTTGATATTAATCTATGAATTAGAATTATATTGGAATAGAATTAGATGCTTAGGATTATTGAATAATAATTTGTTTTATATAGAGAGGTCGAGAGAAATGATCTAATCTATATATTTTCGTTTTCTTTTGATCGGGGATTGATTAGAGATTTGAAAATATGAATAGATTATGAATTCGTTTTCAAAAGATTGATCTCTCCCAAATATGATAGATTTGTGCAACTTCCGTCTCTTCGTCAAACGTTTATATCATATTCTCAAAATATCTCGGATATTTTGGAAATCATTTCTAAGAAATATCTCAGAGATATTGGACGATTGAATATGAAATCGTATATCTTTTGAAGAAATAATCTATTAGCTAATTACGAGAGTCTCGATGAGAATAAATAGATTTATATGATGGAGGCGTGGGTCGTGATAGGAAATGAAGATGAGAAGAAATGATATATTCAGAGAAGATATATCTTCGCTATAAATTCTCGATTGAAAATCGTAATTCAAAATTTCGTGGGAACCGTGTTGGCACGCAGGGCCCGTGGCGAAGGCGGGGGGCGGCGGCTATCGGTAGTGGTGCTAGTGGCGATCGGTAGTAGAGGTGATGCGAACGATAGGGGAGTGGTGGCGGTATAGGCGAGAGAGGAAAGCGGTCGGTCGCGGTCGCGAGGAGGAGAGGCCATTTTCGATCTCGATTCGGCTATCCTCTCGAGAATCTATTAATCTTTTCTATATATATCTTCCTATCGTTCTGGCCTCGCCGTGCCATCGCCACCTATCGCAACCAATCCCCAACCTATCATTATCGCCTCCTCCTCCGGTCCGGTCCGGCGCCGACGCTCTCCGTCTCCCAATATATTTATATATATTTATATTTATCTAAGATCTACGATTAGCTAGCAAATCATTTTTATGACGGATACGATAATCGTATTAGAGAATATTATCTATTAATATAAAGCAAGTGATATCATATATACGTATTAGAAATAATAATATAATTTTTCTATAACAAAGAAATCATCTATTATCATCATCATCCGAAAAATAGATATTAAAGATCTTCAATATAATTTCCTGAATTATTATATTTTTGAGATCTTTGGGAATCAATTGGAAATTGATTATTGAAATCCTTTCCTATATTCTTAAAATCCAAAAATCAAAATATTGCCCTTATCCCTGAATAATTCAACTAGCTTATAATATTCTCCATTATTCTTATCGTATATTATCGACGGATCCTCTCTAATATCGTATTTAAAATAAATAATGAGAGAATATAGAAAGAAATAGATATTTCTTCAATCGTTATAGAGATCTAGAATCTATTGATTATAGAATCTAAATTTTGAAATCGATCAATGATATATATTCATCATTTGATCAATTTGAGATTTTTGGATATATATAGATATAGAAATTCGAGAAACAAAAATCAAAATGAATTCAATAATAATTATTGAATAAGAAAGAAGAATGATATATAGAAAATATAATCATCAATGAGATCTTCGATATTCTTGAAAATATATAATATTGTCTTCATATTGAGATGACGAATCTAATATTTCGAGGAAAATGAAACGAATTGAATATTATAATATATCTTTTATTTCATTTTCATTCTAAATGAGGAATTTCTTTATATTCTCAGAATTAGATATCATAATGAATATATAATATTCATCATTGATGAATAAGAAGAATAGATTATAATATATAATAGATCGATCAATCATTAAGATTATTCATTTCTAAGAATATTCTTCATTAATAATATAGATATATATATCTCGAAGATCGTATTTAGATCACCATACCTTATTAAATAAATTGAATATGAGAATATTAGAGAAGATCCGTCGATTCTATGATCGGATACGAGATATCATATCGAAAAAATAAGGGAGAATATTAGATATCGCCAATATTTCAATAGAAGAATCACTCAGAAAAATCATATAGAATCTATTAATATCTTCTCTGAATATATCGTCTCGCCATTATACGTTCATCGCGCTTATCTCCTATTACGATCGATGATCAATCTCTGCCGCCTCCGCCTCGCCGCCAATGCTGATCGCTACCTCCATCGCCACGCCATTATTACCGCCACGGGCACGAACGGATACGATCGCCTACGTGCCGATAAATTCAAATTATTGATCGTAATATTGAAACGATAAACCATATCCAATATCTATTGATTATTCCCGATCACTACCTACTATTATTTCCTGCTCCTTCGTCGTCACGGCCGTCGCTACGCCAATATCCCCGCCCAAAACCCCGCCGTATCGGCTCCGCCCTCTCCAATGCCGCCTCCGCCGCCACGTAAATTTTTCAGATTCATGCCTAGCTAGCAATATAAGATTGACTAGTAGATTGCGTCTTACGGAAAATACGATTAGTCGGGACCGGCTTTCCAGAATATCCGGGATATTTTAGAAAAACGATCCCAAACTTCCAAAATAATCCGTAGATTTCATAAATCGCGACCTACAAAATATCCCAAATATTTTCTAAAATATCCGAGATATTCAAAAAAAAGATCTGAGCGCCCTATGAAAAAACGGACGTCTATAAATTAATCATAAATATTAAGATTCAATTTTCTAAAAAGCCGCAATTTTTTTAAAAGATCGATCTAATAAAATATATAAAATGCGTATAAAAATAAGAAATCCGCATTTTATATAATAGATAATATTCTCCAAATATATTTGATTTTGAAAATTAAGATCCATAATCTTATATATGAATATTTAGATTATATATATTTAGGAGGGAATCGACATTCCGTGCCCGATAATCCGCGTGATCAAATCTCTCTCCCATTCCCTTGAAATATATCGCATATTATCGGTCAACGATAAAAAGATCTAAGATATTTATATTATTGCAGGGTTTGAGACACCAAACGTAAATAAATAGCTCCCGGCCTTCTTGCAAAAAATAATATTTTATCATTCCCATATCTAATTCTTTAAAATAAATTTTCGTATATCTATTATCTCTGATTAAATATATTAATAAAATATAGATATTCAAAAGAAAATATTAAATCCCAACGATTTAATCAAATATTTTATATCTATATAATAATATTTTCTTATATAAGCTATAAGATCTTATCATTAATAGCATTATAAATTCAAGAAATAAGAAATATAAATGAATTCAATCATTTATCCAAATATCGAAATTCATTATATCTGTATTCGATTCATATTAAATTATAATCAAATATAATTATTCAAGAATCTCTTCCTAACTTCTATAATAAGATGCATAATCAAATTTTTTGATGACCCTAGATCCCAAATCTATATTTCTAGAAATCTCTTAATTTTTCTAAGCTAGATTCATTTTCAATTTCAAAATTTACGAATTATAATACCTATCTAATCTCAAATTTTCTAATTTTAAATATATTATCGAAAAAAATAATAGATAATATATATAGATCGAAAATCTTGATGCCTTCAATATTTATGAAAATGACGTCATTCTCATCCAAATATAGTTGAGAAATCATTCAATTGCAGATAATCTATCAATTCAATATTTTCCCTCTCTTGATGAGAATTCTGAAATTATATAATAAATAGATTCAAACATATGAATATAGGAAATATCATTTCAAACCTTTCATATCAAAGATGAAGATTTAATTCCATTTCTTCCAATGGATATTTCATCATAGAAAATTCTTTAAATGATCTAAAAACCTAAATCCTATATAATCCCTAAACGACCTTTGATATTATTCAGATGCATGACCTTCATATGGTAAATTTCGAATCTATTTTTTCAGAGATGGAGAAAATTATTCCTTGAGGATATCTCTGCAAGCTTGTTTTAATCTTTTACCACGTCTCCTGCAATTCGGGGATCCGATGGAGGTCTTTCATCGTCATGCCCTTTGCCTGAGCAGGTGGCTTGGGGAACCGTGCCTTTTGCTGGTTGAGAACATCAGGTGAATCTAGTAGATCCTACAATGAGAAGGAGGCTTGTAACATTGTAGAGAGGGGCATTTGAATAGTTCTTGTTGCTGCTGGAATATCTACGGGAAGTCTCCTAACATTACAATCAGCAAGAGAATATCATTTTACGCCTTGTAAGGAGGATGGCATGCTCTAGAATGCCACACATCTGGAATAGGGTTGGTCTGAAAAGCACGGCTTAGCTAATAGCCACCCAAAGAAACATGACCCTCACAAGTCGGGATTGAACGTGGAGAATTCAAGAAGGATGGCGTGGATTCAACGCGTGGCGACTAAGCTTGCTTCCCAAAATAATCGTAATGTTTGTGTTCGCAATGCCTAAGGTACCCCCAATATTCGGAAACCCTAACATAGAGGAGCGTACACCGCAATCATGGGCTACCGGGGCCACTGGCTGTCCAGAGAACGGCTGCTCTTGGCTTTATGTGATTGGAGGATGAAGCGGAGGGGTTGGGGTTTGGGGTCGAGAGTTTAGGGTCTATGGTGTAGGGACTCCATCAGGACTTGTGGGAATCACGCTCATGAAGTAAAGGTTCGAGGTTCAGGGCGGGGTGATGCAATTAGGAGGTCGAAAGGCGTGGCCTAAGCCCTGAACGCTTAGCCACACACAAGAAATCTGCCCAAGAGCCCAGCCCTAATCCTAAACCCCTAAACCCTAAACCCCAAAATGCTCAAGCCTGGGAACCTGAAGACACCTAACTAACTCACCTTTTAAGGCTTCGTTCGCAACAGGCCTAAGTCCCATAATCCCCTCCCCCTAGTATTAAACACCCCTACCCCTTAATATTAAATATTGTGTGCATTCTTTTATAATATGTTGGGAATATTTAATGTTGGGGGGCTGGGGGGGTTCATATTAATAGGGGGAGGGATCCGACCAGGGCAGATGTTCAAAACACGAGAAATGAAATCCATAACAATGTTCTACGTGCTGTGGGGTTGGGTTACAGCTTTGAGAAAACTGCCCGAAAAATCCAAGCCAGCAGTTGCACCTCATCTGCATCACACGCACCATTCCACATGTAATTCAATTATCGAAAGCACTGTTTTTGAAGGGGTTTCCCAAAGCATACAACATGGCGGTGCCAGTTCCGCACTCAAAACAAGATGCTGTCTAGGCACCAGTTTCCCCGTGCATCGAACTGGAAGTGGTTTCCCACTCTAAGCCATGGAGAGGGAAACCTAAACTCAAACTTACTGGGGGTTAGTAGGGAGTCAGGCAATATATCTTATGGGGATTATCTGGGGATATCTGGGGGTTATGGGCTAGAATATGTTATGTAGGGATTATCTGAAGGTTACATTCCCTTCTTCCTCCTTCTAACCCCCAGTGCTTTAACCAAAACCAACACCTCCATCCTTCACCAAACTCTGTCCAAGCTGCAAGGCATCGGACGGTAAATCGAACGTCTTGCTCGACAGTGGCCTGCGCGAAGTGCAAAAGCCAGAACAAGTTTGAAAACCCTAAGCCCTAGAATAGTATAGTCCAAGCAGAAACAGATCACATATCCCAAGTCTGAAGGGCCCCTACACCAATTCTCAACAGAAAGCAGGGCCATGTTGGTTGTGCCATGTAAGGCTGCGCATGAAGTTTCTTCGGGTGTGTGTTCTTTTCTTCGGCTTGGGCAACAGTCAGACAGTGCAAGTGTGTATCTGTCGTAATAACCTACAAGAACGAGAGCTTGTCAAATGGCAGCCCCGGAGTCTCTTCACGGGACCACAATGTTGCTTTTGTGTCATGTATCCCCGGAGTCCCAGACGTGCCCCATGCTTGAAGCATGCTTTGGGCCCTGTCACGTGAAGTACAATGGCCAGTGGCTAGCACGGCAAACATCGCCACCCGCTTCTCAGAAACCGAAGCGCTTAAGCCTCACTTGGAGGGTCAGGAAGACTTAGTTCATTCTATGGCATATCGGGATTAGGGTAACCCCTATAGCCATGTAATAACCCCCATCATCCCCATTATTAACCTACTTACTAAGTCCCCCTGATCATCCGTGAGACCAGAACCCCAGACAACCCTTATGTATCCCCATATTTAGGGCGTAGGCGGTTTCTCAAAGGTGGTGGGGCTTTTGTGGTGGTCCCCATAGAGAGGATTACATTAGTGTGGGCTCTATTTTGGGGTCTTCCAGTGTATGGAAGCCACCATATATCTCCTACATAAACCCTGAGACCGTAAACCCTCAAACGCAAACCCATATGAACTATAGTCTAAACTCCAAATATCCCCCTTCATAACCCCTGTAACACGCCCATGTATATAACACCCCTTAAGGGAATTTCGACCCCAAACCCTAAATCGCTAAGCCGTTCAGCCTTAAATCCCTAAACCCGATATACAGGATTATAAAGCGGCTTATGTAGCTCATGTCATCCCAACAAGAATGTGAACGACCGGGCCTGAAACTGCAGCATTGATTCTGCGGTGGACGCGTGCACAAAGAAGCGCCCGGGCCGCTCCAGCTGAGCAGGGTTTAGAGTTTAGAGTCTAGGGTTCTATGGCTTCAGGAATTAGGGTTGAGGGTTTGAGGGTTCAGGCTTTAGGGTTGAGGGTGGTCAGAACAAGGGGCCCTTTTGGGGGGATATATTTATATATATATATATACACTTATATACTTTTTGCCGGGGACCTATTGCACTAGGGCCCAAAACATATGAAGCCGTGTTTTGACAGCCCTGCGTACAGAGGCGTCTAAGCCGTAAACTTTGAAGCCTTAACCGATGTGGGGTCCCTTTCTGCTGGGGCTCCCCAAGAGGAAGGATGCAAGTTTACTGGGGGATATTAAGATCTTCATATTCAAGTTTAAAGGGATTTTAGGATTTCGGGCCTACGAACCCCATGTGCACCTTAAATGCTGATGCCGAAGCCCCAAATGCCGAGACCTCAAACCCCCGCAGGGACCTCTTTCTGAACCTTCCTGGCAAGCGCGGCCACAAAGTCGAGCTTGCACACGTCCAGCTTCGCCTTGGGCTGAATATGGTTTCAATAAGAGTCGGACGCTGATCGGGGCACATTAAAGTCATACAGAGGCCTAATATGAGCCAGAGTCGAAACCCTGTATCCCCTTTAGTAACCCCTATACTAATCCCCTTTATAATCCCCCTTTAAGGAGTTTAGACTATGGCTCATATGACTTGTGGTTCAGAGGCTCAATTTGCTGCTCCCACCTAAAGGTGCCATTGTCTTCCGCCCGCACATAATTGTAGTTGGGACAGCAGCCCAGCTGGTTTCTAGTGCCCTGGCAACCTCTTAACGTCCCAGCGACCATGTCCTCTGCGGACACCGCGCGATGCAGCATGGAGTCCGCAGTGTTGCCACCATGCATGACATGGAGGCAGATGCCCTGCCAAAAGCAGAATAGGGGATTCTCAATAATACTAATACTAATAACACCACTACCACTACCGCTACCGCTACCGCTACCACTACCACTACCAC